CAGGCTGCCCCCTGCCCATAGACACCGCCTGGCTGGGCCCTGTCCAAAGATACCGCCAGGCTGCCCCCTGCCCATAGACACCGCCTGGCTGGGCCCTGTCCAAAGATACCGCCAGGCTGCCCCCTGCCCATAGACACCGCCTGGCTGGGCCCTGTCCAAAGATACCGCCAGGCTGCCCCCTGCCCATAGACACCGCCTGGCTGGGCCCTGTCCAAAGATACCGCCAGGCTGCCCCCTGCCCATAGACACCGCCTGGCTGGGCCCTGTCCAAAGATACCGCCAGGCTGCCCCCTGCCCATAGACACCGCCTGGCTGGGCCCTGTCCAAAGATACCGCCAGGCTGCCCCCTGCCCATAGACACCGCCTGGCTGGGCCCTGTCCAAAGATACCGCCAGGCTGCCCCCTGCCCATAGACACCGCCTGGCTGGGCCCTGTCCAAAGATACCGCCAGGCTGCCCCCTGCCCATAGACACCGCCTGGCTGGGCCCTGTCCAAAGATACCGCCAGGCTGCCCCCTGCCCATAGACACCGCCTGGCTGGGCCCTGTCCAAAGATACCGCCAGGCTGCCCCCTGCCCATAGACACCGCCTGGCTGGGCCCTGTCCAAAGATACCGCCAGGCTGCCCCCTGCCCATAGACACCGCCTGGCTGGGCCCTGTCCAAAGATACCGCCAGGCTGCCCCCTGCCCATAGACACCGCCTGGCTGGGCCCTGTCCAAAGATACCGCCAGGCTGCCCCCTGCCCATAGACACCGCCTGGCTGGGCCCTGTCCAAAGATACCGCCAGGCTGCCCCCTGCCCATAGACACCGCCTGGCTGGGCCCTGTCCAAAGATACCGCCAGGCTGCCCCCTGCCCATAGACACCGCCTGGCTGGGCCCTGTCCAAAGATACCGCCAGGCTGCCCCCTGCCCATAGACACCGCCTGGCTGGGCCCTGTCCAAAGATACCGCCAGGCTGCCCCCTGCCCATAGACACCGCCTGGCTGGGCCCTGTCCAAAGATACCGCCAGGCTGCCCCCTGCCCATAGACACCGCCTGGCTGGGCCCTGTCCAAAGATACCGCCAGGCTGCCCCCTGCCCATAGACACCGCCTGGCTGGGCCCTGTCCAAAGATACCGCCAGGCTGCCCCCTGCCCATAGACACCGCCTGGCTGGGCCCTGTCCAAAGATACCGCCAGGCTGCCCCCTGCCCATAGACACCGCCTGGCTGGGCCCTGTCCAAAGATACCGCCAGGCTGCCCCCTGCCCATAGACACCGCCTGGCTGGGCCCTGTCCAAAGATACCGCCAGGCTGCCCCCTGCCCATAGACACCGCCTGGCTGGGCCCTGTCCAAAGATACCGCCAGGCTGCCCCCTGCCCATAGACACCGCCTGGCTGGGCCCTGTCCAAAGATACCGCCAGGCTGCCCCCTGCCCATAGACACCGCCTGGCTGGGCCCTGTCCAAAGATACCGCCAGGCTGCCCCCTGCCCATAGACACCGCCTGGCTGGGCCCTGTCCAAAGATACCGCCAGGCTGCCCCCTGCCCATAGACACCGCCTGGCTGGGCCCTGTCCAAAGATACCGCCAGGCTGCCCCCTGCCCATAGACACCGCCTGGCTGGGCCCTGTCCAAAGATACCGCCAGGCTGCCCCCTGCCCATAGACACCGCCTGGCTGGGCCCTGTCCAAAGATACCGCCAGGCTGCCCCCTGCCCATAGACACCGCCTGGCTGGGCCCTGTCCAAAGATACCGCCAGGCTGCCCCCTGCCCATAGACACCGCCTGGCTGGGCCCTGTCCAAAGATACCGCCAGGCTGCCCCCTGCCCATAGACACCGCCTGGCTGGGCCCTGTCCAAAGATACCGCCAGGCTGCCCCCTGCCCATAGACACCGCCTGGCTGGGCCCTGTCCAAAGATACCGCCAGGCTGCCCCCTGCCCATAGACACCGCCTGGCTGGGCCCTGTCCAAAGATACCGCCAGGCTGCCCCCTGCCCATAGACACCGCCTGGCTGGGCCCTGTCCAAAGATACCGCCAGGCTGCCCCCTGCCCATAGACACCGCCTGGCTGGGCCCTGTCCAAAGATACCGCCAGGCTGCCCCCTGCCCATAGACACCGCCTGGCTGGGCCCTGTCCAAAGATACCGCCAGGCTGCCCCCTGCCCATAGACACCGCCTGGCTGGGCCCTGTCCAAAGATACCGCCAGGCTGCCCCCTGCCCATAGACACCGCCTGGCTGGGCCCTGTCCAAAGATACCGCCAGGCTGCCCCCTGCCCATAGACACCGCCTGGCTGGGCCCTGTCCAAAGATACCGCCAGGCTGCCCCCTGCCCATAGACACCGCCTGGCTGGGCCCTGTCCAAAGATACCGCCAGGCTGCCCCCTGCCCATAGACACCGCCTGGCTGGGCCCTGTCCAAAGATACCGCCAGGCTGCCCCCTGCCCATAGACACCGCCTGGCTGGGCCCTGTCCAAAGATACCGCCAGGCTGCCCCCTGCCCATAGACACCGCCTGGCTGGGCCCTGTCCAAAGATACCGCCAGGCTGCCCCCTGCCCATAGACACCGCCTGGCTGGGCCCTGTCCAAAGATACCGCCAGGCTGCCCCCTGCCCATAGACACCGCCTGGCTGGGCCCTGTCCAAAGATACCGCCAGGCTGCCCCCTGCCCATAGACACCGCCTGGCTGGGCCCTGTCCAAAGATACCGCCAGGCTGCCCCCTGCCCATAGACACCGCCTGGCTGGGCCCTGTCCAAAGATACCGCCAGGCTGCCCCCTGCCCATAGACACCGCCTGGCTGGGCCCTGTCCAAAGATACCGCCAGGCTGCCCCCTGCCCATAGACACCGCCTGGCTGGGCCCTGTCCAAAGATACCGCCAGGCTGCCCCCTGCCCATAGACACCGCCTGGCTGGGCCCTGTCCAAAGATACCGCCAGGCTCCACCCTGACCATACATACCACCAGGCTGAGCCCTGTCCATAGACACCGCCAGGCTGAGCCCTGTCCATAGATACCGCCAGGCTCCGCCCTGACCATAGACACCGCCAGGCTCCGCCCTGACCATAGACACCGCCAGGCTCCGCCCTGTCCATAGACACCGCCAGGCTCCACCCTGACCATAGATACCGCCAGGCTGAACCAGAGTAGGTAAGAACCCCTGGGCCTAGGACTTGGCCCTCGGACCCAGAGAGCCTTCCCTCCTTGGGCCTCCCCCACTCTGGCCTGTCCTCTGGGACGGGCCAGAGGCACTAACTCCTGCCTGACTGTGCCACGACCTGCCTAACCCCCAGCGCCACTTTGTGCTGCAACCCCTGACCATCAGCACCTCCAGCCTCACCCCTCACTCTCGCGCTCTAGGCCAGGGCAGACATGGCAGCCCAGCAGCCAGATGGCACACAGGTCTGTTTGGTGCGAACTGGAGCGTGGCCTCTGTATCTGTGCCTCTGGTCCCTGAAGAGGCAGCTGGCACAGGGGCCGGGGAATGCGGAGAGGAAGCGCATGAGGGGGAAATCCTATACTGGACCTTCAGTGCAGTGTGGAGCAGGTCCCTCCAGTCTCCAAAGGGAAACCCTGAGCAAGAAGCCTCTCATGATACTGAGAGCACCTCGCTTTTGGAAGGCAGAGCAATGCTTGCTTGTTAACATCTCCTGAAACTGCACAAGAACAAAATGCTCTGGGGTGCCCGGAGTTGACCTGAGGGTGCACAGTAGAGGCCAGGCCCAGACAAGGCCCAGGGTGTGCAGAGGGCTGCCGACCACTATCCCCATGCCCAAGGTGGGGGAGGGGCATGCCAGATGCCAGGTCAGACCCCCAGTCAGGCCCATGTGGTCCAGGCCGCCCCAGGCCAGTCCCAGGCCACCCCAGGCCAGTCCCAGGGCACCCCAGGCCAGTCCCAGGCTGCCCCAGGCCAGTCCCAGGCCACCCCAGGCCGCTGAGGAGCAGTCACTCTCCCAGGACCGCATTTCCAGGGAGCCCTGCCTGCAGGTCCTGGCTGACCAGTGAGGCCTCCACTCCCTCCTCAAAATCCATGGCATGTCTGGGTTTTCCCAGTCCCAGAGCCGACCTGAAGAAGGCCCAGGAGGTGAGCACCACTGAGGAGAAAGACAGGCTCACGGAGCATGTCCCGCCTTCAACGTGCCAGCCCACCCCCTGCACAGAGCCTGGGAGGCAGGCCGGCCATCCACCGCCTTCGGGCGCCAAGGCTTGGGTTTCGGGTCTCGTTCAGGCTCACTCAGCTGACAGCAGGCTGACCCAGGACACAGCCAGGTCCCCTCTCCTGAACCCCGCCAGGGCAGTGAGAGCCAGGCCTGGCATCCTGGCATTGCCATGACATCATCAGCAAGCCTGAGACCAGTCCATGCCTTCCTTGGGCCTTGGCTCCCTACCTGTAAAATTAGGGATTTGGACAGGAAAGCCACCAGCAAGGGCTGCCTGGCACTCTGGTGTGCTTTCTGCTCTTACCCTTCCAGCGGGACCAGGTCCAGGCCCCCA